CATGAGTTGGTAAAGAAAATCGAGAGATCAGCAAATCGCAAAACCCAATCAACAAACGAGAGAGAGATTGTGTGAGAGATGAAATTCTCTCCGAAGAAGAAGAATTAGTTAGGTCTGCGCAAGGTTTTTTTTTTGGGTTCAATATTTACACAAATGNCATTAATGATTTCGGGTCGGCCATGCGGGTCACGCGGATCCGCGCGTTTTTGTCTGGATCCAGTCCCAAAAATATCTGAAATTGATCTGATAATTACTGAAATTGCCACTGCCTATGTACAAAATTACTCTTTTCAATTGAATTTTTTTAGTTTAAAAACAATGGCAATTTGAGTAATATTAGAATAAATTTTGGATATATTCCTAAATGTACTTCTGCTTTAATATTATAGAGATATCAACCGAGAATTTTTATTGTTTAAAACAATTTTCTTAAAAGATGGTCTATTTTTTTTTTTGTCAATAAACTTACTTCATTAATTTAAATGATCAAAATACAAAGGAAGGAAATTAAGCATCTTCCAAAGTTACTACAACATAATTGAAAAGCAATAAAACAGAGAGTAGATAGATCATCACAAAAGATGGACATCGAATCCAAAGCATGCCTCGGATGCGTCAAGAGGGTATTCGCGGCAAAGCCGGAGATTCTCAGAGTGGTCAGTGAGATCCCGGCATAGGGCCCGGGAATTTGACCACTCTCCAAGAGAGGGAAGAAGATTCGACCAGTCTCAAAGAGATGGTCGGAGGTGGAATTGAACTCTTCCACCAGGAGTAAATCACAGGATTTGAGAATCTAGAAAATTTGACCCTCTCCTGAGTAGAGATATGAATCTCGACGAGTGATGAAATGAAGCATAGTGAAGGCGAATTGGTCTCTCCAGGCTCGATTTGGAGGACAAAGATTTTAACGAACTTTGTAACATGTTTAAACCGACAAGAGAGGCGGTACAACTTTGCAGGGCTAAATCATATCGGGCTGGCAGTACGCAAGAAAACAGTTTACGCAAAAATAGTGCTTAAAATGCCAAAATCACTTAAACAATTATCGATTCTAAAACGAGCCTGGCAAAGTAGACATAGAATCTTTCTTACCTCGCAAAAGCTAGGATATTTAATGCGGAGATATCTTCGAGATTCGATTCAGGCTGATCCGTTAGCACACCTAAAAAGTCTCGCCCTTCAAGCTTCATACTTATCGCTTAAAGGGCTGGGGGCTATTGTTGGTGTTGTATTTTGCACCCTATATATAGCCCGAGAGAAGCCCTTTAGTAGTAGGTCGGCCCACCGAGGGAGGTCCGATAGATAGGTCCGAAGGAATAGCTAGAAGAATATACCGCTAGTTGCAAAGTGTGAATGAGCTTGTGGAATGTAGTGATAGGCTCGTATTAAGCCCACTACCATAAAGCACATTATGCCCAGCTATAGGCCAAGTTGATGAACCATGCGGTTGGGCTGAATGAAACAATTAACGGAATTACTTGCGAGCTGCAAGCTGAAGAGGAGCTCGCGGATAACAAGTTGAATTAGTCAAGGCAGAGATCTCGGAGCGCGTGCTGAAAATATGAGATCGTGAGGAGAACGTGCTACGCGAATATAGGAGCGGTTGAACTTGATTGACCGCCTATATAAAGAGAGAAGAAGTTTTCTTCGAAGCCAAGTCCAATCACAATCACTTTTCACTTTTATCCTAGACAATCACCTAGAACTAAATACTGCGAACTGCAATATGTTGTTCTTATTTTTCCATCTCATAAATCTTTTGTATTAATCTTGATTCTTTGATCATATTAATACAAATCCATCTCGTTATTCTTAATCTTTATTTATCTAAGATTCATACGGAGATCTAGGCTTTTCGTTAATATCAAATTCTTGGTTGTGGATTTTCGGATCCACATACATATATTTTTTTTTTTTGTTTTTAAACTAATAATGTACAACCAACAAAGCTTACATTCGTTCCTTAGTGGGTGGATCTCTCCCCTCTGGCTAACAGCTCCTTAGCCATAATATTGTTTCTCTTAACCCTAATTTTCTCCCCTTGCTCACAACAACTCAACTTGAAAACAAAAGTGAACCTCATTTTAATTAGAAATTCTAATAATCCCGAAAATAGTAAAATTTTCAACTTCTCCTCCGAAATTTTTGTTTAAAAAAAAAAAAAATCAGCCAAATATCTCGCGATCATTAGGGTTTTCTCTTATGTATGGTTTTCTTTCATCTTACAATCTAACTTATTTTTGTTTCAACCACTCGTTCTCATATTAGATCATAAGCCAAATCTAAAGACATCGTTTTCGTAGAAGAAAAAAATGGGAAGCGAATCAATGAGGCACTTGTCTCTAAAAAACAAACTCAAATCAACGCTTTGCATCACCGGTTGTTTCCGCACGACCAATCACNACCGCGACATTCCCGACCGGCCATCATCGTCTCCGGTGACTCCCTCGGAGAGCCCACGTAACGGAATCAAGACCAAATCTCCTAGACTCACTAGGACATTGTCCAAATCCCATGAAAAATGTCGTAGTCTTATCAATCGTATTGGCGGCGGAGTCGTTCCCGGACCCGGGAAACATATCCGCCGCCACACGACGGATTTTCATTATGATCCGTCAAGCTACGCCCTTAACTTTGACAGAGGTGACGAAGACGATAATGTCAACCGTTTTCCGCTACGAAACTTCTCAGCTAGGCTTCCTCGTTCGCCGCCGTCCTCAGCCAACCCTACCGAATCGTCTTTTACGGTTCAAAACCTTGTGCGGTGATTATTCCATTCTCTTTTTCTTTTCTTTTGATTAGGTTAATCGCGGAGTTAAGCCCATTTCTATTCCCCTTTGTTTTACAAAATAATCTCATGTTTTAGCAATTTTAAATACTTTTAAGTTATATAATTTGACAAGATTTGTTGTGTTTTTGATCTGTGCAATACGTTAATAACAACATATGTTTTTGGTAGTATATTTATTCGTTTAACGGAAGCTAGTATTTGTTTTGCTCATGCTTGTGCCAATATATCATTGAAGATGTGGGTTTTTGTGGTCATGTTTTCATTCGTATCACTCATTTAGACGCTCTTCGATATTCTGCTGTCTATCGAAAGCGTATGACTTAGCTTGCAACACATTAGAGTTTCCTACGATATTATCTGCTTGGTCATATCAATTTCATCTAGAGTGGCTTATAAAAATACGATCGTGGATCAGAAACCATATCGATCGAGGAAAGCCATGTTCTTGCAAATTTTCTTTGTAACATCAAGTGAAAGGATGTCTTAAACTCGCAAAGTGTGAGTCTACTTGCCCAACATGACCACCAGCGTTTGAGAGAACGAATAGGCAAAGGCGCCACCCAACTTTTCGATAACAAACGCAGTTCTATCAGTTTCAGAGTTTTTCAAAACTTTTTGATTGACTTTATATGGAACCCAAGTGTATCATCATCTCATTCTTCTGGTGATCCACTTTTGTGTTCTTCTATGCAATCTTGTGGCGAAAACTCTATATGACTTATTATTAGCTGCTACGGACAGTGGACATACCCATCAGTCAGCTTCTGCAACTCGACTTTGTAATAATGGAAGAAATGTTCTTTTGCTGCCCTTTTAACGAACAAGTTTGGTGCAGTTTGTCTCACAGTTTTTGCTTCTTTGCTTTAATGGTTTGATTTGGGAGCTCTCACGAATGTGCTCTGCAAACACAAGGAAACCGTTCTTTTTCTTTTTCGTTTTTCCGTCCACAATGCTGTTCATCATATATGGCATGACACAACAGAGAAAACTCCAGCCTTACCCCATGCTCTGCCATCATTCGCAAAAAACATCTGAATTCACATCTCACCGTCACTGAGATTAACCGTGTTTGATACTCTAACCTTTGAAAATGTTGGTTTCGAAATCCAGATAAGAGACCCCGAACATACTTTACTCAAACAGCAAATTTGTCAACAAGTCTGAACAGTCCAACCTCAGTGTCAAGACTAAATGTTAGCTTTACAGTCTCCCCTGCTCTTCGTTTTCCCGAGATATCAAGTATATGGATCCAACCATGTTCAATGAGAAAAAAAGTTATTTCAAAAGGGTTTGGTTATAAGGCTCTCATCTTTCTTAATCTTTACCAACCAGCAGAAAAACCCGAGTAATGATACAAATTGGAGTTCCATAGAGTAGAAGAAGCAGGAGTATAGAAGATAACTATATTTATACACCAAGAA